GTCCCACCCTAGGCATGAAATCCAACTGGGTGACTTTGAGCCAATCACCAGGAGGCAGTGAGTTCTAGTTCAGCCTTAAACATGAAAACTGCCTGGGTGACTTTGGGCCAGTCCCTCTTTCTCCTAGTCCAACCCACCTCATATAAGGTTGTTTTGGGGGAAATGAGAGGAGGAAGATGTGTTGGATATGTTTGCCACCTTGAGTTATTAGTTAAAATTATAAAGGGAGAGAGATACAAATAAGCAAGCCAAATCAAAAATTAAACATATCCTGTCTTTACTGGGAGAACTCAAAGCGGAGCATAATGTTACTACGTAGATCAACAACCTACTACCTAGATCAACCACAACAACCCTTTGAGGTGGCCTGGGCAGAAAGAGAAAGAGGGACTGGCCCAAATAACCTAGACAGCTTTCATACCCATGGCAGGACGAGAACTTACCATCTCCCAGTGTCTACTCTAGCATCTTAACCACTGCACCGAACTACCTATAGATAGATAGTCTTTCGGTTATGAGGTGAGGGAGATCAGGCCCAGAATTGCTAAAAGATAAAGGTCATAAAATGAAATTGCATTGTTTACAATGGTAATTCCTGCAGTCTGGTTGTTGGGACTCCATGGGGTCACTAAGCAGGAATTGGCAGGAATCCCAGAATGGGGTGGGTTCTACTGGTGGGGAGGGGAGGCTGGAAGAGGTTGTGGGAGGGCTAACACAGGCCATGTGCAGGCAGGGGGTGGTGAGGGAGGGTCCTATGAGTGGAAGAAAAAGCAGGAGGAATGGACTCACCACATCAACTTGCGACCTTCCCTGCCTACTTCCCCATTGACTTTGCTTGTGCAAGGAAGATCAGACATGGCAATCACGCGTCCACAGCTTGCTGTGATGTTATAATGGCAAGCTAGGCATCTGAGAGCCAATGCTGCAATAGCCAAAAGGACCGGTCATAAATTGTGTTTTTTCCCCCCCCAGCAATGCCATAACTTTGAATGATTGCTGAATGAATGGACGTAAGACGAGGATTACCTGGAAGCCAAACCACACTAACCATGTGTATTGCACCTATGTATCTAACCAACCTATCACATCTAATCTGTTGTATATAATGTATTAATCCTATCTACCCTACCCATCTAATCCTGTGTTTCTCAACCTTGTCAACACATTTAAGATATGCAGCCTTCAGTTGGCTGGGGAATTCTGGGAGTTGAAGTCCATCATTTTAGTTTTTTCCAAGTTTGTGGAATAGTGATCCAATTGTGTCTATCTGTCTGTCCGTCCGTCTATCCGTCCATCCATCCAACCAACCAACCAACCTACCTACCTTCTATAGGGTCTTCCTTGATGCAATTTCTTTAACCCAACCCAAGAATGTTGATTTATTTCTTAACTAAGCTGTCTTGCAGATGTGATGCCCTACAACTGTCATCTACTCAGGCAGCTGTAATTGAGACAACTGATGTGTATATTAGCACATTCCTAACAACTGTGCAGGTAAATTATGGACCTCTGGTTTTCCCCAGAGAGCTTCAACCACTCTTCTGATAATTCTACTATTCTAAAAGGTGACTACTTGGGAAAATTATGAACCCATTTAAAAGTGAATTAAGTGGTTTAAAAGTACAGTAAAATCTACATTTAATGGGCTGTTTGTGAGAAATGGGTGTTTTTTCATCCCAATGTCCATTACGTCTGAATTGATATCATTTGAGCTAATCGGCTTATTTTGCATAATTGATCTAAATAGCAATATTTGCAGTTTAAATCTACATTGAATGAACAAAGCCTTGATGTAACAGACATTAAATGAGAGAGAAGCCTCAAGGGGAAAAATGCAGCCACTGTATCTGATTTCCGTTGAAGTGATGTGTGTTAAACTGAAAGTTAACTACATTTGTTTTTTCTCCCTGCCCTGATGGATTTGCAGAATTGTTCTTCTGTGAAAGGGTTGAGTTCCTTCAACAGAAAATTCTCAGCATTCTGAGCAAATAAAAATTCCCCATTGCTTTCAGGAAAGATAAGAAGTTTCTTCATGTACCAAACGCTTAGTTGTGAATCAGATGCAAAAGCTGAACATAACCTTAAAGATCATCCAACCTGACCCCCATCCCTGCACCAAAACCCATTACTATAACAGCCCAGATGTCTGTCAGCCTGCTTTAACAACTCCAGCAAAAGAAAATCCACTATTTCCTGAGACAGTTTGTTAAATTGTATGCTCCTATGGTTAAGGCAAACACTCTTCCCTTATAATTAAAACCCACTGTTCCTTTTTCTGTTTTATGGAACATTTCTGATCAAATCTACCCCATCTTCCAATAACAACCATTCGGATACTTGTAACAGCTATCGTGGGAATAAAGAAGAAAAACAGAATTCTCTTTCACCCAGAGAAATATCTATTAACTGCTAAAACTCTTCTGTCTGTAACCTTTAACTGGGTGAAATGGGGTACCAAAGTATGTCAAACAGACTAGCTTACAAAATGCACCCAAAATCCGGGCCCCTTTGGAATTGCCATTTTAAATTTTAGAGAACATTTTATGACCTAAGCGCAATCCAGAAAGAGTTTATGACAAGAGAAGAAAACATTATAAAATATTTCCTGTGCTGGTACGTGATTGTGCTGTTACAGTTCGACATGGGCTGCTTTCAAAGCAGATACGTCTGAATACATCCCGGTTTTATCAACTTAGGCAGTAAATTAGAAATTCTACCAGTGTTGAAAACATTGAGGAATCTGGTAGAGGAAATACCTTTAAAACAATGACTCAACGGGCAGTGGTAGGGTTCAAATAATTTAACAACTGGTTCTCTGCCCTAATGATTTCTTCCAACAATCAGTTCACCAAACTGCTCCGCAAGTTAACAACCAGTTCTCCCGAAGTGGTGCAAAATGGCTGAATCCCACCACTGTCAATAGAGCACTGGTTGTCTAATAGTTTTTTTCTTTTTAAAACAAAAAACACATAGCAGTCTCACCATTCACGCCGCGATGCCATATTTAGGCTAACTCACCAAAAGCAGAGGCCGGATCTGATGCTAAATTCCAGGAACATTCGAAACCACTTCTTCCAGACACAGGAAACCAACATGGGTGACCAAAGTGTTGCCCTGCAATTCAGTTTTAAGCTTAAGCAAACACATTGTTGATGTACACGTAATTAGACGTAATTGTTAGCTGTTCCCTGTATTTAATCCTTTCATCTGAAATGGTAACAAGATGGAAGAGGCATTTTCAAAAGCCATCATGGAAATAATTATCAAGCCAATCCAATTCTAGTTTCCATAACATTCTGATGGGTTTCTTTTCTTTTCCTTTTTCCTTCCTTCCTTCCTTCCCTCACTTTCTCTACCCTCTTCCTTTCTCCCCTCTTCTATTTCTTTCCTTCCTCCCTCCCTCATCTCATTTCCCATTTCTCTCCCCTCTGCCTGTCATTTCTCTACCTTTTCTTCCTTCCTCATTTCCCTTCCTTCCTCTCTCCTCCCTTCTTCCATTTTCTTCTCATTTTCTTTTTCTTCCTCCCTCCCTATCTCATTTCCTTCCTCTCCCCTTCTTCCCCTCCCTTGTAATTTTTCTTCCTTTTCTTCCTTCCTCACTTCCCTTTTCATTTCCCTTCCTTCCTCTCTCCTCCCCCTTCCTCCCTCCCTCCATTTTCTTCTCATCTTCCTTCCTCCCTCCCTTTCTCCTCCCTCCTTTCCTCCCTTCCCTTCTCATTTTCTTTCCTCCCTCCCTCCTGCCCTATCTCATTTCCTTTCTCTCCCCTTCCTTCTTCCCTTCCCTCCCTTTTCGTCCTTCCTCACTTCCCATCTCATTTTCCTTCCTTCCTCTCTCTTCCCTCTTTTTTCCTCCATTCTCTTCTCATCGTCCTTCCTCCCTCCTCCCTCCCCTTCTCCTCTCTCTTTCCTCCTTTCCCTTCTCATTTTAACTGCCTCCCTTACCTATCCTCCCATATCCTTTCATCAGATAATGCAGGGGTGGGCAAACTTTTTGGCTCGGGGGCCGCATTGACTTTTAAAATTTGACAGACGGGCCGGGTCAGCACAATATTTTTTGGGAATCGCCCCCCCTCCCCCCTCTTCTCCTCCTTCCCCTCCCCTCAGAGGCTCCCCTCCCCTCGGAGGCCCTCTGAGTCAGGAGTTGCTACCGCCGGCGCGGCTCCGCTCGGCTCCAGTCCCACATTGCCTCGGGAAGGGAAAGGCAAAAAGGAAGAGCCGCGGCGGTGCTTTGCAACGGGAGCAGCGGCACTGGAGGCTCAGGCTCAGCGGCTCCTGGTTTTGCCTTTTCCTTCCCAAGGCAACGCGGGACTGGAGCCGCACGGAGCTGCGCCGGCGGTAGCAACTCCTGACAGCCCCAGCCGGACACCTGAGCGGAGCCCGGGCGAAACTGCCTCTTGCTGCTGCCAGAGCACCGCCGGGTCGCCTCCTCCAAGCAACCTGCCCACCCACCGGGCTTCCCCTCTGCCGCGCGGCTCGGGGCCAGGTGCAAGCGCCCACGAGTTAAAAGGAAGCCGAAAGTTGCTGGGAAGTTGCTCGGGTGCTGGGAGCAGGCTTTTAAAGTGCCGCCCGAGCAGGACCGCCAAGCCGGGAAATGGGGCACCAAGGCAGGGCAAAGCTCCACCAGCAGCGGCCTAGCTTTAGGTGGCTCCAGGCAGCCCGCCCCACCCACCAGGTGGAACCCTTCCCGCTCTTCAGCGGGAAGATGCTCCAGCCTGCAAGCTTTGCCTTTGCAAAGTTTAAGCCTGGAAGCCCCGGAAGAAAAAGGGGGATCGGTGGGGACTCACCTTCGGCGAGGTCGCACTCGAAGGTGATTTCGAACTCCCAGCCGAGGCCTTTGCAAATTTCTTTTCTTTCCTACCCCTAGATCGCTCCGCACTGTTTTGCAGCTTTGGGGGCCACGCGGCACAGGGCAATTAGGCCACGCCCAGCGATTTTTTTTCAGGGGCGGGCCGGATTGGACAGACCAATGGCAGCAATTTTTTTTCAGGGGCGGGCCGCATTGGACAGACCAACGGGCCGGATGTGGCCCGCGGGCCGTAGTTTGCCCACCCCTGAGATAATGCCATTCTAACCGTATAAACACTTAAAAACTATTCAGGAAGTCCAGCAACTTCAGACCTCATTCTCATATCTTTTAACCCAAATTTATAAAAGTTTAAATGTGGGTTAATTTCTTGTGGGAGAGGGATTTAAATGAGGGGCACAGGACGCACGACCCACCCAGGGATGCCTCCGAGTCCCTGTTCTGCTCCTGCGGCAGAAACATTTTTTTAAATGGGGATTTCATTTTTTAAAAAGTTTTTTATTTTTACGTTTCAAAAAAATCTCTTTTAGTGAACAGCATATTCCTCACGCTTATTATATATATTTCCTATTCCTATCTTAACTTTATTCTATACTCATTGTACTACTCTTTTTATCTGTCACATTTGCAAATTCATCAGATGCTCTTATAGTTCTTTATTCAAAAAATTCATCCTAGTTCTAAAATTCAAAAATTCAAAGATCTCCCCCTTTAACTACTAAATTGAGTGTACCACCCCTTTGTCTTATACATGATTCAATTACCGTATATACTCGAGTATAAGTCGACCCGAATATAAGCCGAGGCACCTAATTTTACACAAAAAACTGGGAAAACTTATTGACTCGAGTATAAGCCGAGGGTGGGAAATGCAGCAGCTACTGGTAAATTTCAAAAATAAAAATAATTAATTTGGGAAACGATCTCACTATCATGAAAGGTTTAATTGATTCACTAACCCAAAAGAAGAAGATGATGATGACAGCGGGAGGCAGGAGTCACTCTCTTCCCCTCCCTCGGAGGCCCCCTGAGTCAGGAGTCACTACCGCCGGCGCGGCCCCAGTCCCGCCGCTTCGGGAAGGGAAAGGCAAAGTGCTTTTTGCCTTTCCCTTCCCGGCTGGGGCTGTTGGGAGTCGCTGCCGCCGGAGGCCGCGACTCCACACCATTTTTTTTCAGAGGGGAATCTGACTCGAGTATAAGCCGAGGGGGATTTTTTCAGCACAAAAATTGGGCTGAAAAACTAGGCTTATACTCGAGTATATACAGTAACTTCCCTTTAATTCATAATAATAATTTATCATAGTATAATCATATTTTAGTTAACACGTGTATATTTTAAGGCAGATTCCGAATATTTTCCCCTTGATTACATTCTAATTCATTTATTATTTCAAATACATTAATCTATTCAATATACCTTAAAAACTGATGTTATACCTTTAACTATATTCTTAATTTTACTAACCATATCTAACTTACTTATCATAACTTCCCTTTAATAGGGATTTCTGATTGCCTGTGCCCTGGAGGAAAGAAAGGAACATTTTGCCAATTTTAGCATCTTTGTGCTAAAAGTCCATAAACAGAACACATTCCAAGCTGTCCCAACTGATGTACTTATGCCTAATTCTGCTGCTACTGTTGTTCAGATTTCCTAGCAGGGATGAGTAGAAGTCAGGTAGTCCTCAACTTACAAACATTCATTTAGTGACCATTCAAAGTTACAACAACATTAAAAAGAATCTATATACTGTATATATAAAAGTGAAATACCACTCATGTATCATCACAACATCTCCAGAACCGTAAAGCCTACAAACTTGAAATTTGGCAGGTATGTTCCTCTTGGCTTCTAGGTGCTCACTAAGAAAGGATTTTTTTGAAATGACCATCAGAGTATTAATATTTCCTATATTATTATTAACACGCTCTGATGCTAAGGAGTTTTACTCTCCGTCCCCACCTGAAAAGAAATCTGTTCCAAATGCAAAACACAAGCAGAGGAGAGGTGTTTCGGTTTCAGTTTTATTTTCACATCACCAAGCAGCTTTAGTACAGAACAGTTGAGCTAAGCCATGGCCAGGCTCCTTGCTGTTTCCTTCTTGCTCACACAGCAAATACTGTTTTACCTTCCAAACAGCCCTCATATTCTCTCACACACTGACAGGACGCTAGCCAGATGAATACTAATGGATGCTGGTAGGCAGAGGCAGAATTTTGCTGAACTGAAGAAGCTTCTTGGGTTGAGAAGTGAAATGTCTTCAAGGAAAAACAAGTCTAGTTGCCTTTTGAAAAAGCACCTGTGGGATGAACATTGTCGTAAAGTTTGAGGGTGATCATCCATCAGTGCAAAACCAAAAAAGGTTTGTTTTTTTCCATGGGTAGAGGATCCATCACTCCTCCCATCTGCAACCAAGACTAAACCAAGGAAGGGAAAAAAAGAGAGAAAGTATGGCTCACACACCTGCCCAGGTAGTCATAATCCCCAACGCACAGGTGTTCTTTGCCAAGACTCATCAAGCAACTCCACAAAGCTGTCTCAACCCAACAGGTGGGAAAGCACCTACTCATCACCGCCTTACACCCATGACGCATTCATGGCCAAGTCAAGCCAACAAGAAGGGTCAAGAGGGAAAAAAAACCCTGCCGCCTTCTCCAGGAGAACTGGAGCGCCTGGGAACGAGGCGGCTGCCTTATTTATTTATTTATATGCCTCCTCGGCGTCTCAACCCTCCAGGGCAGTGACAGCGTGAGAACCAGGGTGTATCTCTCCCAGCTTTCCAAGAAGGGGGGAGGGGGAGGGGAGGAGCTCCCCTTCTTAATTGCTTCGCTTGTCTCCACCACGCCTGCACCTTCCCTTCTCTGGTAAGGCAACTGAAGGCAAGCATCCAAGGCAAATGAGTGTGTCTGTCTGGAAATGCAATTTCCATGCGAGCAAAGCAGGCTGGAACTGGGAAAAGGGACACCCTAACAAGAGAGGAACATACAGACAGAGAGAGATATTCCCTGCAAATGCCAGATAGCAAATATTTTTTATTATTATTTTTAAATCAAAGGAGGATTGGCTGTTGGGAAATTTAAAACAAAGAGAACTTCCTCACAGCTTAGTCCAAGATGGTATTTTAGGGGTGTAAATAATCCTCATCTTATGATCACAATTTATGTTGCTAAGTGAGACCATTGTTAAGTGAGTTTTGTCCCAGTTTATGACTTTTCTTGCCACCACTGTTCGGAGGAGAAAAAGAAAGAAAGAAAGAAAGAAAGAAAGAAAGAAAGAAAGAAAGGAAGGAAGGAAGGAAGGAAGGAAGGA